CTAGGTTCATCGTATGCGGCTTACACCTCAAACAATAGCTGATCCTGAATAACTTCCCCGAAACTTTTCATTATTCCGGACCCCTCCATCAATTTGGGTGCCACGTTAGTACGCTCACATCTGAACCCTTTCTGGGTAGCCTACACGTCTGATCAGCCAGCTTTACAATGTGGACCGTGGTATTACCAGTAGGCACAAGGCCGCATCCAGGCAACTGTCTGAAATAGCGTCGCGTTCAGTTCTACTGTGCTTTTTCATTGGCGGGATTTCTACGGCTTCCAGGTAGGGGCCTTGTTGCGGAATTTTCTGTAGCAAAGGTGCTGGAGACAGTTTTTAGCCCTCACGCCTTCCTGAGGTACAAGTCTTATACCCTATGAATGCGTATGTTATGGCGTGGGGACCCTTTTTCTCATTCAAAAACATTGTTTTTGAGGATCTTACATCATTTTCATACAGAAATCTGGTTCATTTGTAAGGACCTGGTAAGACTGTAAGTTTGAATAGCCATACCACATCAGCCTTACACACCCAATAAGGTAACATGCATCTAGAGACATGCGTGACCGGTGTCATGGATTTGCATATGTCTTCCAAGGTAATTTTCTGTTTTCCAAATGATGCAGTTCGCAGCTGACAAGGCTCATGCCAAGAGTTGCGCACTTGTCAGGGCGTCGCTTTTGATGCCGCGGAGATGTTCCACGGTCGATGGCTGCTCGGACAGGAGCTCAAGGCAAAACGTGAAGCCGGAACATGTGGTTTCTTCTTTTAAACCTGGTTAGCAGACCGGAGTTTTCTGAAGAGGTGACTGTGAAAGCTGGAGACATGATGTCCACGCCAGCAAGAAAAGTCGATGATGACTTCTGGCGTGATGAGTTTGCATCTTAGCAATTAAGATGCAGTCGTGGGTCGTTCCCGAATGGGCTGTGCCATTTCTTGCCGCGATCTAGCCTGGCATCTGATGAGGCTACGGGAAATGCGACAGAAAGGTCATCTCATGCGCAATGACCCGTGGCTGATGACGCAGTTTGAAGGGCAGGAGGCGTGTGCCTTATTGGCCAAGATGCATGTTGCAAAAGTGTTGCAAGTGTAGATGTGAAATGATGCTAGAATCGCCCGTGTCAGGCTCGATGGGTGAACTGGGTGCCTGCGAAAGGAGCGTTTGATTGGTTTGCACCTCGCAGAATCCCAACGCCAGATTGCGCAGGAAAAGGCAAAAGGAAGGGGCCTGTGAAAGGTGATGCCTACTTGTCAGGCAAAGGAAGTGCACCAGGAGGCCGGAGGTGAGCGTTTATTGAGACACAGCTGTGGTACACGCTCCTGCTGTGGCAGGTATGCGAAGTGCCTTGGCCTGGGATGACTGAATTTGAATGGCCACCTCGTCCTGCCCCTGTGCTCGCCACAGCAAATAATCTAACAGCTTACGACGGGAAAAGGTTGGCAACTGTGTCTCACTGCGCTCTCCGACTGGGTTCTTACCCTCCGTCACAGCAATGTCTCTGTGAGCGCTTACGGAGCGCCGTGTCCGCGGGTGGACATCACTTAAACACGGGAAAGAGAGTGTGCAGATGCCTGGCAATCAATCCATTGATCAGACTGATTACATGCTTCGGTCATGAGCGCAGTTCCATTTTGATTGTAGATGTGTCTGTTCATCTGTTGAGCATAGCTTAACTGAAAGACGCATGGCTTGCCGAGTACCAGGACATGAAGTAGGAACCAAGCTACACAAGACGTAGATTATCTAACATGTTATGAGTCTACCAGCGCTGATGTTGAGTGATGTACCAGGCCGGCTCTTGACCCACTCACAATCGCTCAGCATCTCTCTGCTGGAGACATCATGCAGGCTGTTCGAAATCTCAATGCGGGCTGAGGAAGAGGTCAGGCGCATTGATCTGGAGGACGTCGAGGTGTTTATCGCGCTGCAGGACCCCATGTCACGAGCATCTGCCCCGAAAATCTTTGATCCCCGGCCCTGAGTATAGGAGAACACCAAAGCAAAGAATAGAACAAACTGAGCATGCATAAACGTGCTGTCAGAAGTGTCTTGTTTCTTTTCCTGCCAAGATCATGCACGGTGACGTGAGCATGCGTGCCGTGCTTCACAGAATCTCACACACATGCAGCAGGTTAAACACAGGTAGTGACGGTGGTGCTTGTGGTCGTTGTGGTGCCGTAGTCCTTGTCACAAATGACCGGTCATTGCATGTTGTTGATGTCCATTAGACTAAGTGGCAGATTGCTCTGCAGACCATGCAGGCCAAAGAAATGCCTAAACAGTTTTTTGATGTGTGTATGACATGAGTCACATGATGAAAAGTCATGAGCACGATCTGCGAGCACCCCGAGTTTTGTCACCAGTCCTGATCGTCTCGTTCTGGGGCCTCGGCTCAAGCCCTTGGGACTTACCCAAAGCGGCCTTCACGGCTGCCATTAATTTCCATCATGGCTGTTGGCAAACGGGGGGTGCGCTGCGAGACGTTGCCCCAGAATACCCCAGACGCCCACCGAAATGGGCCTTGACGAAGGGCACGTTGCCACAAAACATCCGCAGCGCATTACTTCTAACAAACCTGAGGTGAAACAGCATCCCTCTCGTCCTCGGACTGATAAGACCGACGCCCGTTTTTCACGTCCATCTTTGGATGACGCATGGCCTGAGCTTGCCTTGAATTGATGGGACGCCACCAACCCTTGGCACATAGGACTGACCTTGGACTGAGGGATCAAGTCAGAAGCATGATGTCTTCGGAAGATTTCGGAAGAAGGATGGACGCAGAGTCATGCCTTAGGAGGCGGAGCCACAGGTAGCTCCAAGATTGGCATTCAACTTCAGCCAAGAGCCACTTTCAATCGTCAGGCATGTGAACAAGCCCACAACATCACAAAACACGACCGAGGCCTGGCTGTCGCCCAGCAGTCATTCAAGAGGGAGGAATAGCAAAAGCTGCGGTAGTAGCAGTTGTTCTTGTTGTCGTCCTCTTCGGTGGACTCGTGGTCGTGCTTGTGATCGTCGTGGTCGTTGCCATTGATCGCAGTCCTCGTCGGGATCGCAGTGTAGTAGGGCAGGAGAGGGAGGAGTTGCAGACCGCGGACTAAGATCGGAACGTGGAGTAGGAGTGAGTAATACCCAGGCCCAGGAGCAAGGATCGTCGTGGTGGTGTTGGTGTTGGTGTTGTTTGTGGTCTTGGATTGAACAGGAGTGTGCGGGTGTGATCGTAACAACGAAGTGAACTGTTTGGGGGGGATGCACCTGCAGCCACGGGCTGCAACCAGGCTTCTCGAAGCCTTTATTTTATAAGAAGGCTCGTCGACCGACTTGCGTAGAACCATGGAATTGACTGACACGGAACTTGCTGGAATGGCTACCATGTTAGACGCTGCCAGCTGGGCAGCACTCGGTGGTCGCGCCAAGGCTAGCCTCTTTGAATTGCTGGGTGTGGAGGACACCACACCGGTCCGCAACATTGGCATCTTACCAAAAGATGACTACATGGCAATCATTCGCACTTGGCTGATTCCAGCTCCTACACCTGCTGATGCCATAGCAACCGTGCTTCCGAACGCAAATCAGGTCGGTCAGGCTGGATTGATGGGACGAGCATGCAAGGTCAAGTGTGGCACGGAGCCGAATCATGTGACTGCTTCGACACCGGCTTCTGCACATACAGCTAAGGCTGCTGACCCGCCAACAACAAAGAGAATCAAATTAAGCAACACCATTGATCAGGCCAATGTGCCAGAGCAACCCATGTTGGCCAAAGATGACATTCAAGCAGCTTTTGCTCGATACAAACAGGCTTTCGGCGACTACACGCCGGCGGAGGAAGAGCCCACAGATGACCAAATCACGGCTTTGAAAGCGGTTGTGGACGCAAAGGCTCCTCCCTATGTTGATTTCAGCGTTTGAGGGCCACATGGATACAGAATCCTCCGCAAGATCAAAACGAAAGGGTTGCGCATCCTCATCACTCCTGGTGGTGAGCTACAAACCGTGGAAATCCACGTGCCCAATCATTATGAGCAGTGGGAGACATGCTTCCGCGTGTTCCGATCAGCTGTCGTGATGCTCGGGGCGCTCAGCCGTGCGAGGTATACATGAATTTGATTCGCAAGTACCACATTAGGGTACGGATCGAAATGCTGGCACATCATCTATCGATGCAGGCTCCGGGTCTGGATGGATCTAATGGGGAATTTATCATTAAATCAAGAACCCCTCACCAGCTTGGACTGATGAGGCGCAGCTTGGACTAATGGGAAC